AGCAGTTTTGATGAAAAACCAGTTTGGAGAGGAAAACAGAATAAGCCTCAAGGAGAGGGAGGGAGTGGGGACAGGAAGCCCCCTTACCCACCCCTTGAGAGACACATACCTATGTGTTGTGGCTTACTCAGTCTGTAGAGCTCATGTCCACTGTACTACAAAGCCAGCTTTACAAACATTTTTCTACACATTTATTTGTGTGTGTGTGTGTGTGTGTGTGTGTGTGTGTGTGTGTGTGTGTGTGAGACCTGTGTGGAAGTTAGAGTACAACTTGCAGAAGTTGATTCTCTCCTTCTACCTTGTGGGTTCAGGGGCTGAAACTCAGGTCTTCAGGATTGGTGTTTAGCAACTTTTACCTAATAAGTCATTTTGCTGTTCCTAAAGAGCCAGCTTTTTGCCCTAGTCCAAGCCCTGCTAGGTTGTACAGCCCATGCCAGCCTCTAACTCATTATTTATCACAGGCTGGCTTTGAACTTGTGTCAATGCTCCTGCCTCAGACTCCAAAGCACCAGGATCACAGCTTGTCTGGATTCTAACCATGGTCTTGCACAACCATTATTGTGCAAACCCATTATTGTCTTTTCTTTAACATTGAAGTTAGAAAACATCTGTGAAGTCACCAGAGCACACATCCCATATATTTGTCCCCCAACCTTTACAGTTTTTCCCAGGACAAAATTCTAGATAACATAGTTTTAAAAGTCTCTACTTAACCTTTCAAATGAGCATCCTGAACACTTCTAAACACTCAGTTAGTAGTAAGCATATTCACACTATCATAAAACAAATCCCCAGAACTTTTTCAGCTTGCAATGGTGGAATGCTGTTGATTTCTCCTCCCCTGACTCTTGGCAATGCCATTTACACCCTCGGCTGTGTTCTGACTGCTTTAGGCACTTCATGAGAGGAGTTAGACACATCTGTCCTGTGACAGGCTTATTCACTTAGCATACTGTCATTAAGGTTCAATCACTGTAGCACATTTGAGGATTTTTTTTTCTTTTTTGGTATATGCACATGTATCTGTGTGAGTGCATGCATGTGAAAGCCAGAGGTTGACATTAGCATCTTCCTTGATCACTCTCCACCTTATTTTTTGAGGCAAGGTCTCTCACTGAACCTGGAGTTCCCTGATTCCACTGGCCAGTGAGCCCTAGGGATCCTCCTGTCTCTGCCTCTGCCTCCCAGTGCTGGGATTACAGACCTGTGCTGCCATGCCCAGCGTTTACATGGCGTGCTGGGAATCTGAACTCAGGTCTTCATGCTTACACGGTAAGCTCTTTAGTGACTGAACCACCTCCCTATCCCCAGGTCTTTCTTGTTAAAGGCTGCATAATATTCCACATGCATATACACATTTTCTTTACTCATTCATCTGTCAATGCAAATTTGAGTTGTTTCTACCTCTCGGCCATTGTGACCCTATGACTCTTAGAGACACTGCTTTAATTTCTTTTGGACCTATTCTCAGAAGTGGGATTTTTCAGTCATCTGGTAGGTCTAGTTTTAATCTCTTGAAGAATCTCCATACTATTTTGCATAACCACAGGACTACTTTACATTCTCAGCAACACTCTATGTTCCCATTTCTCTGAGTTCCTGCAGGTCCTGTGACATCTGGTGCTTTTGATTTGCATTCTTCTTCTGATCCAGGATCCTGAGCATCTTCTTGTGTTCCGTGGCCAATTGTGTAAACTCTTCACAGTTTTCTATCCAACCCTATTTTTTTAATTGGAGTCTTGGTTGTACAATCAAGTTCCTTACACAGTCTGGATACTAACCCTGTATCAGGTATATGACTTAGAAATATTTTCTCCTTTTCGCTATCGTTTTTTTGCCATGCAAACATCTTAAAGTTCGATACGGTCTCATTTGTCTATTTTCTATTTTTCCATTTAGGTTTTTGGTGTCATATATAAGAAACCATGACCAAATCCAAAGTTCTGAGCCATTCCCGTGTTTTTTTCCTGGGATTCTGATAGCTCTCATTTTACATTTGAGGCTTCTGCCCATTTTGGGTCATTTGTATCTGGTATATCCTCTGATATGTAGGTATCTGATCTTACAATGGCGTGCTTTGACATCACCCCTTACTTTGCCATTTCATTGTTTTGCACACTATCAAATGGCTTTAGTTAACCATGGCGCTACTGGCCAAGTAGCCTTGAGAATCTGCAGAGCAGGGAGAACCCAGATGAGCAGGTGGAGCCAGGCTCCTGGCTGGGTCTCAGCATGCTGCATTCACCATACGCTGAGAATATATTAATCATGTTATTTTCTTTTCTAGATTTTGATGCTTTTAACATTAAGTTTTGCTAATCCTTTGTAGGGCATGCCAGAGACAGCAAAGAACAGGGAACCGACAGCATGCCTTTCCCAGCCAATCAGCAGTCCAGGACCACCCTTCTCCTGTCTTAGGCCAAGGTCAGGTCCAGACAGTTAGGGATGGCCCCTGTGCCCCAAACAGGTTGAAATGGTTGTGCCTAACCAGTCTGAAGCCAGTCTACTAGGTCAGTTTTTCCCTAAGCAAAACATAGTAAAGGAATCTCGCCTGTTTTCCTTGCTTTCTCCTCACTTGACCTGGGTGCTGTCCCACATGGCCTGTGAGGTGGAGCATGTGTCCTCAGTGGTTTCCTCTCAATGGTAGTCATCTGCTGGCATTTTGATCCTGCCATACTCAGACTACTCATACTCATACAGCCTTTATTCCAGAGCCCCATGCACACCAGTCTATGGTTAAAGGAAGCAGAGCAGCTGCATTGGAGTTCTGCTGGAGCTCCTCAGGGTAACTTGAAGATTGACAGCATATCTATGAAGAGCTGTGCAGGGCACATCCTAAGAATCCCAATGCAGAACTGGGCACTTGTGCCACCACAGTGAATGCCCCAATCCTCACACTCCTATCAGATCACCAGACTGTCAGGGAAGCCTCGCTCAGCCCAAATAGGCAGAAGGGAGTCCCTGAGCCTGGAGGAGAACAGCTTAGACAGTTAGAAAGAGGTTTATACAGAAACCAGTATGAGCCAAGGCCCATGGGCAGATGGGTAGCAGGTGGCTTCTGTACTTGGGTACATGGTAGGTGTGTTTGCTTTTAATTGACTATGAGAAGGAACCATTTCAGCAACGGTAGAGGGCTGCCCCAAACCAGCTCTGACTGCATTAGTGTTTGGATCTGTGATGACAGGTCATTTTGACAGCAAATCATTTAACCATCCCTTTCACACATGATGCAAGTGGCTGGGACACACAGCCAGCCTTTGAGTAACTCACCACATGAAGTGGTACCCAAATGGGACACAGAATACAAAGTAGGGCCAAGATAAGTGTCAGTGGGGGAGGCTGGCTACAGCTGTGTGCTGCTCTGGAGAGCGGTTGGAGTCAGAGCTGTCGGCACCTGCTCCTGTCCAAGCATGCAAGGCAAGAGTGTGGTTTTTATGTTGCACTGTTGGGCGCCATACTGCAGCATGAGTCAGAAAAACCACCTGCTCCAGCCACACTCTGGTTACAGAACTTTGTTTCCTCATCTGCAGAGAGAAATGATCTCCAACTTCTCTTTCCTGAACAGAGACTTACAAAGGCCATGGGAATTCAGCAAGGGACCAAGAGGACTGCGAGCAACAGAATCCCAGCCCCCACCTTTCTGTTGTGGTGGGACCCTCAGCAAGGACTCCATGAAATCTAGTTGTTGCATAAAAGGTGAAAAATCAACACTGCGTCTGTAGATACAGAGCTAGAGACAACCTTGGGTGTTGTCCTAAGGCAATAAATAATACAGGGTCTTTTACTGACCTGGAGCTCGCCATTGGCTTGGGCTGGCTGGTCAGTGAGCCCCAGAAACCACCTTCATCTCCCCAGTGCTGGAAGTACACACAGGTGCTATCACACCCAGTGTTTCGTTTTTATAACATGGGTTCTGAGGATTGTGCTCAGGTCCTTTACCTCCCTAGTTCTACAATGCTTTTATAGGGTTCAAAGATTTCAGAAGGTGCTAAAATTGCAACTGGAATTAGCCACAATCCTTGCTGAAGAGAGGAAAGGATTACAGAAGCCAGTATCAATTTGCTCACACAACTTCAATTTAAATTAAACTTCCTTTAATGAAATAAAAACAAATGGTGCATTGCATAATATTTGTGGTCACAGTATAAAACAACACAATTAGTTCGCATAACATTGGATATGGACAAAAATACACAAGACCTTTTCTTTGTCTACGGACAATTCTGCAGATCCTTATGTTATACTTGGGGAAAGAAAGCCAACCTTGTTCTCCTAGTGATCTGCACACACACACTTATCTCTGAGAATTTGGTCAAACAGTGGAGGAGAACTTACCCAAATCCCAGTTCCCTTCTTCCTCTGTCATCGGTGAAGCTAAAAAAAAAAGTTTTCTGAAAATAGCAAGTTGTGTAGTATTGCTTATTAAGTTCCTGCTCTAAAGGCGCAGTCTTTGGCTCACAGACGCCAGTAACGGAGCCATGGCTGCAGGCAGTCTGCAAAGCAGGAGGCCAGAGCCACCAGAGACACAGACGGAGGTCTGGGCAGGAGGGAGTCTCATGGCTGCAAGGGGGGGAAGGGGGAGGAAGAAATACACATTGGTACATCTAAAAGATTTAATCCAGCTGGTGAGTTGCAGTTCCAGCGTCCCATGCATGAAAAATCTGAAAAGTTGTTAAAAAGCCAGAGTTTGCATTTTCTGTATTTTTAAAAAAGTGAGTTGTGTGTGTAAACATCGGAAAGTAAACAATTTAAAGTAATTTCGAGGCTTCAATCTGAATGGAGTTTAGGCTCTTTCTGGGGGATATTTTTTGTGATTAGGAAAAAACCTAATCTTCTATAAAGTTTCTTTTTAAGAAGTGCAATCTCATCCTTGCGAGGCCTGGCTTGCTCTTTGCTTCCTTCAAAGCAGCATTGGAGGCCGGAGCCTTGCGAAGGACACTTCGCAGGGGAACCCTATTTGGTACAACGGAGTGTTAGCTCACACTTACAATGTCCTGGGGATTTCTGGCTCCTCTCCCATCCCCAAGTGACTTGGGGTTTGAACACAGTGGGTGGGTGAAGGCCTGTGCCTCAACAACTCAGCCTTGAACCTGAACATCAGCTGAGAGAGAAAGGCAGGCGTGAGTACTTGCCCCTCTCACCATTAGTGTCTGCTCTGACCTGTGAGGTTTTGCTTACACCACCAAGGGCCATCTGGCCCATGCAAGACAAGTCTGTCTCTTCCTCTTAAGAAGGGCTATGCTACAATGACTCTGAATCTTAGCAACTCCGTGGGCTCAAAGGGCACCGCTGTTCCGAATGGAGCATCAGCTTCCAGCTGTGTTCTTTGAAATCCTTGTTTGGACAATCACCTATACCCCTACCTCCTCTGAAATAGCAGTAAGAATATAACATGGGGAAAATACCCAAATCTACCAAGCCTCCCTTCTTCTTCTGGCCTCTCTTGCTTGGTGGGGAGTGCCTGCCTGCTGCTCCTCTTCTCGATACAGACTCAATCTGGACCCACCTGTATTGTAATTGCCAGCACATACTCTAGTTTCCATCACACGAGCAGTCACCACAGAGGGCAAAACAATCAAGGAAAACTGATGAGCACAGAGCCCACTGTGGGCCACAAGGTGGAGTGGCAGGCCAGGGGCAGGTCAGTTCACCTGGTCTGTGGTGACAAAGAGCCACACATGAATGGTCATCATTTTTTATTATTTTATTGCTCAAGACAAAAAGAATCTTTCCCCGCTTTGGAAGACAGCAGTGTTAGATCCTTCAGAGCCAGAGTGCAGAGGGCTGAGCGAGGGCATGAATCAACTGTGAGCCTTAGCACCCACTAGAGGCTTGTGGAAGGTCAATGTTAGAGTGACATGTTGGGGAGCTGAGGTTCTGCCAGAGCAGGTTCTGGGAACTTGACGATGTGACTCTGTCTGCTGTCCTGCTCCTGCTGGGCCCAGTCAGGCAGAGCCAGCTGCTCTCAACCCTATTTTACAGGCTGTTCACATGACAGCAAATTGTCAGGTTCCCTTCATGTTCCTAATAGGAAGGCAAAGTATACCCTTCCTCTCTACCCCCCAGAGGGATCTTAAAAAGACTTCAAGACTGAAAAGGTCACAGAAAACACACGACTCTGTGAGGCAATTTCTGATTCCTTGAAGTCAGTCAGTCTTGCAGGCAGCAACGTGCCTTCATGTGAAGGAGCTGGAGTGGCAGGTGAAGGACGTGGCGCATCCGTGGTTCGTCATGTAGGTCTTGTGGTGGCCAATGAGTGTCTCTCCTGGAGGACAACAGCAGGGCTGCTTCAGGCCGACTGGTCCCTGGTGCCATTGTGTTGCTGGCTAGGACTGTAAAATTCAGATGTCGCTCCCACCCCCTGACCCCAGTCCTGCTCTCCCTGGCGTCCCTGGAGGGTGAGAGCAGCTATTCCTTTCCTTGCCACCAAGTGTCCTCTTCCACACAGACCTACTGCTGCCCTGGACAGAGGTGACGACGGATTTTTCTTCATATTCATTCTTAAGGCTAAGGTGGCGAGATAAGGTGCTCGGTGGAAAGCCAAATCTAGACCGGAGGGCTGCTATTTCCTTTCGGAAACAAGCCCCCCAAATGGAAGAGGGCAGAGAAACAAACAAAAAAAAAGTGATTGGCTCAAGAAGTTATATACTCCAAGATTAGATTTCCAATGTAGGTTAACCCCTGAAAATAGGGGATGGGCAGGGGTAAAGCCACAGTTAGCCTGGGCATAGGTCTGTGTCATCTCTGAGCCAGGGCAGAGGGCAGCAGGTAGCAGCTCTCCAGGAGTCAGCCCCATGTGGAGCCGGCTCTCGGGTAGGCGGGTACTCTCTCATCCACAATGGAAAACGCCCAATGCTTTTTTTGCCCTTCCTCACCACAACCCCTCCACTCAAAAGCGATCAACACATACAAGTCAGAGGATCGATAAGCCAGTAGGAGAAAACAAATTAGACCAGGGTTAACCATTAAAATGCTGCAGCTGGGAAAACACACACTCGATCGTTACATATCAGAAAGTGCCGTGGGAAGAAGAGCTGTGTGCTGGTAAACATGTCCGCGCTCAAAACTTGACATGCAGAAAAGAGTGAGCGCCAAGTCCCACCTGAGATTAGAGAGGACTGGTTTTAGTGGAACACACTTTGTTTTAAAGTACCACTGTCCTCTTCTCACCCCCACTGTTCCTGCAATGTCCCTCCGTCCCTTGATCTCCGCTGCTTAATCCATCTCCATTGACATGAGCCTGCGGCGCTCCCGACGCGTTTCCTGCACCTCCTTTTTACAGCACCAGTGGGAACTGCAGTACCCGATGAGGCAGGACAGGAGCCCGATGACTGTGGACAGGCCCACGCCAATCAGCAGTGGGTACTTGAAGGCATTCAATACTGGGAGAGAGAAAAAAAGTATTAATGCTGCCGCTGGGGTGCACTGCCTCCCCACCCTCCTGGAGCGGTATCTCCAGAGATCGGAGCTCATAAATCCCATTCCCTGCACCTGGCATCGCTGTCGACAGGAGCAGCCTACCTAGTTCTGCTGAGAAAAATGAGCAAACGACCCCCACTCAGTTCTCTGTGTGCATGTGGGGGGGGCAGTTAACAGTAAAGAGATTTCACTCGATACGTTTGAATGTCAACCTGCTTTTTAGAGTTTTGGCAGGAGATTGATTTTTAAAAGTCAGTATAAGGGCAGCACACATTGAGCAGCAGATGCATCCTTTAAAAAACTGCACAAATCTATTCTATGCATCAAATAACTGAAGTATACTAAAGGAGCTATTTTAGGTAACACTATAGTAAATTATCGAGCAAAATGAATAATCCCTCCCCTGCTTGTTTGGTAAATATGGGTTTTCATATGGAGTCACTTCAAGCAAAGATTTTAAGATGTGAATCAGGTAGAGACGACAGAAATCTCAGAAATGCCCAAACATTTAGATTCCACCTCAGGAGTGCGTCTTCCCTCTCCCTTAAGCACTAACACTCTTTGGGGAGCTTGCCTCTGGTCAGGTCCTAATGTTTGGAATGGTATAATTTTCATTGCAGCCCCAGAGGACATTGCTGTCCCATTTCATAAAAGGTGGATCAGAAAGTATTGTGGGAAGACTGTATCCTCCAGGCATGGAATGACCATTGCCATTCTGAAGTCAGAGAGCAGTAGTGATTACCCTAAGACCCTCTCAAGTTGGGGCCCACTAACATTTCCTTTGGAAAGGGTGGAGGGGGAGCTTTTCTCTTCCCTTGGAGATACATACATACATCTTTCTTCACTGGTGAAGCTGCCTAATGAACTCACTGGGTCACTAAGCTAGACCTGGGTGGGGTTGTTTCTCTCTTGGGTGGTCAGTCCTTGCCCTCTTTATCTACGGTGAATAGAAATAAACTTCCTAGGAAGAAACACACAACAGCAAGACTAAGTGATCTGTGGAAGTGCTAGATTTTGAAGGCCCCCCTCCTTAAACTGATACGGAAACAAACTCTTGGTCAAGGCTTCTCCTGATCACAGGAAGCACCTGGAATGAACTCTATCCATGGAGTTATTCTGAAGCCTTTAGGAGGCTGACACATTTCTTGAGAACAAAGAACAACTGTCCCAGCTCTGGGATGCTCAGGGAACAGAGGTCTGACTGGTCAGGTTGGCTCCAGGGGTTGGTGTGGGTCAATGAGGCTGGGAGACACTCTCCATCTCAGGGTTCTAAGACATCCCCACTCTGTGCTAGTGGCTTTCCGGGAGCCTCCCTTCTCCAAGAAGTCAAACAATAGGTGGTAGGAAGTGGAGGTGGGAAGATTAGGAGGAGTTCAAGGCCAGCTTGGGTTACAAAGTGAGTTTGAAGCCAGCCTGGGCCAAATAATAGGTGGGCCAGAGCAGTCAGTCCTTAATCTACATTCTTACATGGAGACCTCTCAACACTACTCTGCCTCTACCCTGCAGAAGCCATAGTGAAGTGGGTTTCCACAGAATCAAAGAAGCGTCAAGGCTTTTAAAAACCCTTTCTTGCTGGTGCCACCAAGCCAGGACTATAAAGCTAGCAACTGGCAAGGCTGCTTAGGCCTAGGACAGGCCTACAGAAAAAAACCAAGCCTGGATTCCATCTGCTGTGGCACAACATAGGAGGAAAACACGACACCTAGAAGAGTGATCTTACCATCCATCTTCACAGTTATAAAGATGGGCCTGGAGTGAATTTCGGTCTCTTTTTGCCAAGAGCCTGTTGGTGACCTCACCCATGGAGTCACTGAACAATAGTAGTTGCCAAAGTCTTGGTCCTCAGAGCCATGCACCTGCAGCAGGAATTCCAGCACGCTCACGCGCTCCAGGCTGAGGGTGCTCTTCCATTCCCTCTGGGCTGCAGTCACAACTCCCTTCCGGTCCAGGGAGGACAGGAGGACAGGAGCCTTGTCCAAGCCGAAGGAGTGCACAGCAAACCAGGATACATCGAAGGCCATGTCATCTGTGGATTACCACACCAAGATGCTGAGGTCAGTACTGTGAGCCAGAACAATACGCAGGCTCCCATGTCTGTAACCTTCATCCAAGCCAGATGTTCTATCTGGCTATCCAAGCAGTCCTGTGATGACACACTATCACACCCACCTCCGCAGAAAGGTCACATAGTCACAGGTAGCTGTGTGGCATGTGCAGCTGAGGCTAGGGAGTCCAGCCTTGCCATCACCACCCTAAGGAACACAGGAAGACTCAGGCCACTGTACCTCCCACAAACAACCCTGTGTGTGGAGCCAGTGTGTGGTGTGCAGGGTCCTTGGGCATTTAGGCAGAAGAACCCAAGGCTGGAAGGACACTGAAGTTGAAAAGAACAAATGTACATAAAATGAACTGTATAAAATTTAAAGTTGTAAACAGTTTAGATTTTATTTTCACTGTGGTTTTTTTGCCCCTTTACAGAAGTATTTAAGTTCAAAACACGAGGGAAAAAAAAAGCCAAGCTGAGAAAACTAAACAGTTAACAGTCTCAGAGAGCAATGTCAGTGGATCATAAAGTACTCTGAAATTTAGGTTCTAACGGCCTCAGATAAATTAAGATGGGCAGAAGAGAAAGAAGACTTTGGCAGAAGACTAATTCTTATAGAATGTGTAAACTGAGACCACATGCAAAACCCGGACCCCTCCTTGACTGTACCAACCAATACCAGCTGTTCAGCCCCAAGATTCATCCAGAAGGCATGCGGGAACCATGAACCATAAACACGGTCTCATCTTAAATCCACTTGACAAGACTTTATTATAAGTATTTTTAATGTTGGGGATTGATCCCAGGGCCTTGTTAGGCAAATGCTCTGCCACTAAGCCACACCCAGGGCCCAAGGCTTTTTATATTAATACTGTATGATACAGTCTTGGTGGAACCGCTGCAACAAAATAACATTCAATAAAAGTACACTAGTGACTTCAGAAAGCACATTATAAGGCAAATAAGCATTATTCAGGACACATCTGAAAACAGAATGTAGCTAAACTAAGAGCAAGAATATTTAAAACGTATCTAAATGATAATTCCTTTCAGCTCACTCTGAAAACAGCATCTCTCCATCCACCCACTATAGTACTTGAGAAGAACTTTTTCTTGTTCCTAGCGTGTGAATCAGTGCGACCAGTCCTGTGGGGATAGAGCGAATGCAGCAAATTTCTCATACCCCTCAGTGCCATGGCAGGATGGGCACCTGTACTTGTGGGTCCTGGGTAGCTACTGAAGGCAAAAAGGTACAGTTGTGTTCCCGTTACATCATCCCACCACTGTGGGATAACCTAGGCTACAATCCGAGAACCCACTAGTCATAAGGCCTGGGCAAGTCACTTTAGTTTACTGCAATTTAGAGTCCTTATGTGTAAAATGAAATTAGCAGCATGGACAAATGGATCTCACTTATTAACAGCTGAGAACTGTGCCTGGAACATTGTGTATGCTTACCAAAATTTGATGGTAAGAACATCATTTCCACACTTCAACATGCATGGCCGGACAAGCAGATACTGCTTGTAGGAAAAGCAGGGCTCCTGTAGGCAGTGCTGTGGCAGTGCTCAGGTGGACACCTGGTAGTTGGTGTGCTGAGTCATTCATCCCACCCCATGACCCACTGGTGCAGGCACTGGATGCTGATGCTCTAAATTTATACCTTCTGAAGATCACAGCCACCTTACCTTCTGGATGTGCCTCATGGAGACTATGAAGCACCCTCAGCTCTCAGCTCTTCAGCCTCTGGACAAGGACTGACTGCTGAGGACAGGAAAGCCCAGCGCCTTAGTTCCCCTTAGCTCGACGCAGGCAATACTCTGTTACCATGCGTACTCTGGGCCTGTTTCCCCAGCTCCATTCCCTTGTTCCCTCCTTCACTTTCCCGGAGCCTCCTCAGTGAATCTCAGGGCGCCTGCCTCCCCAGCTCTGTCTCTATTCCCTCCCTCGCTCTCCCGGGAGCCCCTCGGGGAATCTTGCTCATCTCTGTTCTGCTTCAGAGCCTGACCAAGGCATCACTCACGCTTGGCTGCTCCTGCCCAGCCAGAGCACAGGAGTGTCTTGGCTTTCATCCCACTTATGCAACTTTCCCACAGAGAGCTCCCTCTCAGAGCCCATAGGACAAAGGTATTTAAAAAAAAAAATCACAATTTGTGTTTAATTATTCAGAATCTTCTACCCACACAGACCAGGAGTGCAAAGTCCTAGAAAATTATGATCTGCAAGATACCAGCTACCTATAGCTTTTGCAATTACATTGGAGGAAAAGATTTTTATATGAAAGGCACAACTGGTGACCTATTAATTTACTAGGAAAGAACATTTGGAGGATTTATTTCTGTATAGATCACAGATGAACCTTAAGGGTAAAAATGGGGTTGCATGACTCTAATTTTTAAAAAGGATTTCTCTAGCCTTTTCCTGGCAGTCTTTTCTACTTTGATCTTCATTTCTACTCTCGAAGGTACCTTTGTGTCCCTAATCTTCCAAACTCAGCACACTGGCGGCTGCTTGCTTCAGAGCCGGGCTTCTCTTGCCTCACCTCAGTGAGCAAGCTAACCAGCCCTGGGTGTTTCTTTCTTTCTTTTTCTTACACCTTCCACAAACTTCTTTTCCCTGTCTCTAAAGCTCATCCATATTCAGTTCCACAAGAGAGGCAACATTAGTATCACCAGGAAACTGTGGCCTACAGGTCAGACTCAGCCCACCTGCTCTGGTGAATAGGCTGTTTCTTTACATTGTCATCTATGGTCTCCTGAGACAGAGGCAGAGTTGAACTGGGGAGACCATCTGGGCCACAGAGCCAAAACTACTTCCTACTGGGTCCTTTGCAGGAACATGTGAAGACCCTGAGCTGGTGGCCACTTGTGTCTTCGAACAGAAGTCCCAAAGGAGCCAGATATCCACCCTGAGGATGGCGGCCACCCAGGCGTTCATTCCAGATGCCAGAGAGGCCCCATATGGGCCTCCCTCCCTGTGCATCAACATGGCCCCTTTGTACAGAATGAAACCTGCTTCAGCCTGCCCCAGGGCTGCACTTCCAGGGAGTTGCACACAGAAACGTATGATTACTTAAACAATTTGGCTTTTTAAGGTGCAACTCTGCCAGAAGTCATGACTCTACTAAGGGATGGGGTTGGGTAATTGTCGGGGTCACAGCAGAGGAGGAAAAAAGTGGTAGACCACAGCAAGATAGGTTCTGCACAGGATCTTTGGGATAGACAGAGGTAGGTACAGTCCTGTTCAGTGACAGACAAAACCCTAGGTGTATTTAATGTTCCTTCAAGCACAGGGGACCCAAGAGCAAGAGGGGGACATCACCTGGACCCTGAATGGGCCAAGCAGAACATGTGCATCCACAATTCTCAGGCATCTGTTAGCAAGGCTAATCTTTTCCATAAAGAACAGATTGTTAGAGCTGGGGATATAGCTCAGTAGTACAGCACATGCCTGGTGTGCATAAAACTATAGGTTTAGTCTCTAGTATAAGGTGGGGTGGGATTTATAAAGATATCCTCAAAGTTCTAAAAGAGCACTCCCTGGTTGATGGTTCTGCTTTCGTCCTCTGCTCTGTATTTCTTCAAACTGCTAACCGTGCCCTTAACTGGGTTGCAAGTTCTCTGGGGGAAGACCTCCAACATGTTCACCGCATTTGTGTATTGAAGGAACTCAATAATACCTGGATGTATGGATGACCCGCAGTCGGATCCTGATTAGATTTTTTCTAACCAGCTCGAATCAAGTCAGGAGGGGGCCCATTGATTGCCCTGAGAAATTCAGATTAAATATCTGGATGTTTCCAAATCTTGCAGCAGATACACAGACCACAGAGTCCAGCTAGTACTGAGCTGGGCAGGGCAGGGATTACAGATAGTCCAACTCCTGATCTGACCCCCACATCTGTATGACACAGTGAAATATTTACACAAAGCAATCCAGGGAGGGGCAAGGACAAGGGAAGGAGGGGTTACCTGGATCCAGTACTGCTCCTTCGACGGTGACAATACAGAACAATTTGATCAGGTCTCCCCGGATGACTGATGGAGTGTCTGAATGCACAGAGGCATTAAATACGGGCCCTGGAAGAAAGTAAGGTGGGCCCTGTCATTTTTGTTCAAATCCCATTCCCGGAGCTCTAACAGCATCTCTACATGGTTCCCTTTCCTGGGAACTGGTCTAGCAACTCATAAAACAGGTATTCGAATGTCTCCTTTTTCTTTTCAGAGACTAGCGTCAGGCACATCCACTTGAACTTAGTCTTGCGAACAGAACTTGATTGAAAGTATTATCACTGCCTCTGGCTGGCTGACAACCATGGTCCCATTTGAAGGTCCTAAGCTCCGAGCTGGTCCCTGGCCTGTGCTGTCCCTGGTTCAGTGTGATTCACGCTAGCCAGGTGGCTTAGAGACCAGAGGGTCAGTGACTGAATCACATGTGCTTTTCGTTTCCGTTGAGTGGATGGCCTTATATGTCCTTCTGGGTACTGGGGACAGAGGCCCTACAGTTAAAGGACTGAAATCTGGTAAGGAGACAGACATACCAATAAAGGCAATGCCTATATTAAGTATGGTGGGGGCACTGAAGGCATGGCTCCGGCCTGCTAGGGGGAACTGAGGCAGCCTGGCACTTCCCTTTAAGAGAGTAGTAAAGTCAGGAAGGTGAGATGTATATGGGAATTCTCTAGAGTTTTGGCCCAATTTTGCTGTGAAACTAAAACTGCTGTAAAAAAATCAAGTCTGGTTAAAAAAAAAAAAAAAAAACACAACAAAGAACAAAACCTCCACTAATATAGGATTCTTCTTGTATAACCTCTCTGAGAACACTAGTGGCCTAATGATTATTTATAATCTATCTCTGAGTCCCTCTTAGGTGAGGGCATTTCATAGCTCAAGCCAAACTGATCCCAACAGCTTAAATCATCCCAGCTCCTAAAATCTAGCAACAGACAAGACTGAAATAAGGTTCTAGAACACCAGTGCAATGGGATTCTGCTTGAATTTCTGGCAAAGCAAAGATAGATGGCCCTGGACGCTGATCTGAAGCTCATTTGAAGTTAAGAACATAGACATTTCTGTTTTCAGATTACCAGAAAGGAAAAAGTACCCCAAAGAACTTTTTTTTT